AGGCGAGCGGGTCCGGAGGAGGGGTTCTGGAGGCAGCGGCTGGAGGGGGGCCGCCGGGTATGACATTGGCAATGAATCAGGTATTAGGTTCCGACCGGGGCACCAGGTGACCAGGGGCCCGCACTCCTCCGGCAGCGCGGCGCCTGAAGGCTCCTGGAGGTGATGTAGCAGTAATACACCTGGCTGGGAGGAATCCCAAAGTCGGGTGCGCAGAGTCGTGTCGTGAGACAGGAGCTCGCTGCAGCGGCAGGTGTCGGACGGAGCGCAGCGTCGTCGAGGGGCGCGCCCGCCTTCTAGACTTGTTACTGAAAGTGCGCCAAGTTCATGACAGGCGAACGACGGAGAGAGAGAGAGAGGGAGAGAGAGAGAGAGAGAGAGAGAGAGAGAGAGAGAGAGAGAGAGAGAGAGAGAGAGAGAGACGCCACCTTATCACATCGGTTGGAATTTCGCGGTTTGTTTCTGGAGCCGTGAAAGCCATGTGATGAGGCGTGTCTGCGCTGCCCGGCTTCTGTGTCCGGCTGGTGCTCGCGGGCCGGGCCGGGGCCGCGGGGCGCGCAGACCTGGGCGGCACGCTTGTCACGAGTTCAAACACCAGCGCGGCGATATCCGTGATGCGGCCAGTAGTGTACTACTTGTTGCAGCCGCGCTCACACACTGTGTGCGTTCCACAAAAGAGCCGTGATTGGACACTCAGAGAGTCGCGTTGAAAAAACGCAATTTTTGATGGTGCGCGAAAGTCGAGAGGGAAACGACTGTTAAACTTTGCGTCAGCTGGATTACAGATTAGCCGGATTACGTCTGGAGTATCCTCTGGATTACGTTAATTTTTCTTTAGGATTACCCTGGATTACCCTAAAATTCCTTCGGAGTACCCCTGGATTACTTCGAATTTCCTCGGATTACACCTGCCGGATTTCCTCAACGGCTGTCAGCCGGATTACCTTAGTCGTTTCCCCCTATGGGAAAGCACTGTACACACTCATGCGTGAAACGTTTAAATTTGTGACTGTCAAGGAAATGGCACACCTCCAAAAGTGCGATTTTCCATTAGCAACATTCAATTTGTTGTGCGAATGTGAATCACGCTCTGTAAAAACACTTTAAATCAGACTGTGATGCTGACTGCACTTTGTTGTGAGAGAACTATCGCAGAAAAGGTACAACATTTAATTCATTGCTTGTATTTGAGCGATACTTTCAGGTATCATAGTTTTGTGCAATGTACTTCACACTGCTTTGTCGCAATTTTGCAATAAGTATTACACAAAATTTGTAGAAAAAATTGTGTCTCATCCGCAGGAGTGATACATCATGGCGCTTGTCCCTATTGCAAAGCACGCACGGCGCTCCGGCGCTGGCGAAACCACGCAACTCCACGGAGCCTCCGTCAAAGCACGCACAGCGGTCCGGCGCTGGCGAAACCACGCAACTCGATTTTTGGGGTGATTTTTGAGACCCATACCGTTGGAAAGAGGACGTTTCCCCCTTCCAGAATATATACTTATCTCAGATTTTTTGAAAAACATCGATACGTGGTTTCGCCAGCGCCTAAGAACTTTGCGTGGTTTCGCCAGCGCCGGACCGCTGTGCGTGCTTTGACGGAGGCTCCGTGGAGTTGCGTGCTTTGCAATAGGAACAAGCGATGAATGGGTATCAGAAAAGGCAATTTTATCATACGAAGATGTGTGAAAAGTATCACACCTCGAATTACAATGAATCGTCAAGTACTGCAAAATAAAAAATAATCCAATATCGAGGGAGGAAAATCTATTCTCTGCATCATCGGTCAGATCCCCCACCCTCCCCCTTCGGGTGCCCCGTCATCAGGCCAGCCCCACTATGCTGTAGGCGAGCCTCTGGGTCTGGCTCGTCGGCCGACTCCCCTCCCCGCGGCGCGAGCGTTGTGGAGGGTCAGTGATCAGTCGAGAGTAAAGTGATGAATGACGGCGAGGAAGAGTATTTCTTTCGGTGTGAGTTTTGGTCTGAACGTCCTTGACGGAGCCTAGCGTGACTGGTGCCGACAAGAGTTGCCCGCCAACAGCCAACACCTAGGTCGCCTTGCCACAGCTTGAAGTCGAACATTCCTCTGACGAATCAACATGTCCATTCGATTGTATTCACTACTACGAATTAGAAAAACAGATGAAGATGAAGGACTCGTATAGAATACACGAGAGTCCAAGGAAAAATCACTCTTTCTGAAACAGGCATTTTAACCCATCAGGCTGGCACAGGCATCTAGCTCATTATTGAATCGTCCTCCATTTTCAGTACATAACGACACACATGACTGGCATTTTACTGTAAGGAACATAGTGACCCTGCTATGGACGCCAACCCTGCCGAACCTCAGGTAGACCAGCCTGCCCAGCTCTGCTGCACAGCAGCAGACAACAAGAGAAAGGTTACCTATCCACCGACCGTGTGCTGGGTACTAACTTCTCCTTACGTCTTGACAACTTTAAATTTCTTTTGTTTCTGAAGCTCAACATTTAGGCTTACCAAACAAGAATCCTCCATGCAATATCTACACTAAAACAAATGTGTTCTTTGTGGTTGACCTCCTTCTTTCTGGGGGGAGGGCGCGGGGGA